GTAAATATTACACCATGTAAGTTGGCATAGAACGTTATTCTGCACGCATAATAAAATTTACTCCTCACAACTTAACCCCTCAGCTGATCACCGATTGCTAGGGGCAGAGCAACGGACAAGGGGTAAATCAACCATGCAATCGCATAAATTACACAGCGTATAAATATTGATCCTGTCATTGTAATTCGATACTCCCATCAGTTTCGAATCCTTGCTGAACCTGAACAATGTGCTCCGGATTCTCTCGTTGCCATGTCCTTCGTATTCCACAATCTAGCCACGACAAGCAACCTCTTGTTCCTACAACACAAAGAGTTTTCACCTGAACCAATACATTCTTATGTTCCACACCTATCCCATGCAGAACATAGCCACCCTCTTGCAATCAACCAGCATGATAAAACCATGGACTAAATATACAACACAAATCGCTGTCCAACTAGTCATTTAATGTCCTTTCTTATGAGTGCCACCCCTTACCGGCATATTCCTTATGATATACCAGTTTCTTGTTTATCACAGCTTATAATTCTTCTTTGTTCGTTTTGTTTGCTCTTAGTCAACGTCTTTTTATAAATCAAGCGATAGTATTTGTTCATTCCCTATCACACACTAGAACCGTATCTGATTCTACCAGCCATTACCTTCATCACCCCAATTTGATGTCTATGGCACACTACCTTACACAAAAGCAGCAAGTCACGTAAAAAGAATAATCGGGCGGGTCTTATATTTCCAGTGAACTGTATATTTTCTGCTGCTCGTATTCTATCATTGTTTCGCTCCCAGCAACAACATATCTGTTTTGTTTTTCACTACAAGCGTGTTTGTTTAGATGCCATATTCGTCCTGCCATCCCATGCTGGATAGTTGATGGCATAGAAGCGATTCAATTTTCACATGATCATATTTCGAGTTCTGTAGCAGCGCATTATGATAGGTGCACGCCATTGTCATATTTCAATGCAAACATCTTATTGATAGCATAAAAATACGATGTTTTCTTTCTCATCACATTTTATTGCAAGATGAAACTTTCTTGCAATATGTTACCGATCAACAAGCAGTCGATTCTGAATAGTAATACACGGTCACTGCTTATTCATCTCATTCACTAGGTACAAATCTATAAATAAAATCGATCACTATGTTTTCATCCTCAAAGCGTAAGGAAAAGAATGGAGCTTAAAAACAAACAAGTGTGATAATATCGCATTTTGACGGGAAAGATGATATAAAAATGAATACCACATACACAACAATACCATATTGTTAGGTACTTTGGCAACTACACTCCCGCACAACTACGAAAATGAGTCCATCAAACATAACCATTTCTACTGATACTTTTGGTCATTCTGCACCCATCTAATTTAACCTATCTCAAAGAACTTTCTACAAAAATATTAAAAAGTTCTTAGT